TTATTATTATATATATATTTTTTTTCTATTTGCAATTCTGAGAAAAAATCAGAACCGAGAGAAACAAAGTCAGAATTGTGACATATAAACTCATAATTGAGGGGAAAAAGTTCAGAATTGAGATAAAAAGTCACAATCACCTTTATTTTTTATTCTGTCGCATAAATGGGCTTCCATACTTTTCATCATAGTTTACACCAAAATACAATAGCACGGTTAACATTACAACTTACTATTGGTCATCTCTGGCATCAATATATGAATCAATCTTCTTTATTAATTTACTACTCATTTACTCACTTATGTTACTATGATTTTACAGCAGTAACTATGGTATTTTGCTAGAATTTATGAATCCATGACCTTTCAGTAGTTATTGGAGTATTTTTTACAAGAAAATACTATTTCAGTCACTCTACTTAAACTTGCCATTGTACTTACTAGCCATTTCTGAGTGAAGGTTTCTAAGTAAATTCTACACCAATTTTTTTTCCAATGTACACTGTAAAAAAAAAAAAAGTTTGAGTATTGGAGTATGTTTACAAGCACATATTATTTCAGTCTTTCTACTTCAAAATGTCATGTTTAATTCGATGTGTTACCTTGCCATTTGTTTGTAATTATTTGTGAAATTTATTAGCAATTTCTAGGTGGAAGTTGTTTCAAAGTAAAATCTACAGCAATTACAGTGTAGTTAATTATTGTATAAAAAACCTCAAAGCAAATTTGACATTTCATTGAAGATATACGTATTTCTTATCATTTAAACATTCATTTAACATTTCAGCAGGCATGATAAAGGCGAGTCATTTAACGTCTTCCAGATTGTTCCCAAATTTAGCAGGGCCAAGGAGGAAAAGCGGAGACCTGCCAGGGGTTACCATGGCGATCGAGCAGTTTGGCAGGAAGCTTCAGTAGCGCAGGCTGGGTGGGTGGATGGATGCAATAGAGCAAATCATGGACCTTAAAGGGTCGTATTTTACACTTTTGTAGCATGTCATTTCTCCCAGCTGTCCAGTTATAATGTTAGTCAAGGATTCTCGCATTACAAACAGCAGAATTTAGTTTAAATGACCATTCCCAGTTTCTCTGTGCTTTGTTATATTGTTATGATGGTTGTTGATCAAGTTGCTGAATACTGAATGGCTATTGATATGTAAAAGTGGGCGATCATATGTTAATAAACTCATAATGAGCTCAGTTTCAACCCCTCCACATAAAATGATAGCAAAATGAGTATAAAAGAGATATTTGTAGATATTATTTTTAATAACCTTTTTAATAACTGCTTTACACAAAACTGCACAAAAACCCGTAAAAGTATTTATAGTACATAGAAATTAAACCATGTTAAAAATAATAATAATAATAATAATAATAATTGCGGGATACTAAATTGAGATACTATTATAGTTTTTATTAACACATTTTTATATTTTAATTTAGTTAAACATTTTTTTTATTTTTTATTGTATTAGGTTTGTTTTTTATTTATTTAAATTAAATGAAAAATATAAATGTTTTCTTGGAAACTAGCTGAAATAAATTAAGTTCCAGTCCAGTTTTGTTGTGTATTTTTGTCATTTTTATTAGTTTTCATTATGTCAATATAGTTTTTATTAATTTTATTTCAGTTTTATTTTTAGTTAATTTAGTACAAGTTAAATTAAATGAAAAAGAGAAATTTTTCATTGCAAACCAACTGAAATAAAATAAATTCCAGTTCTTTTTTTCTTTTCTTTTTCTTTTTTTTTTAGTTAACGTGCACTTTATTAAATAACAAAATATTTTTGAAGGTTTTAGTTTTATTTATCTATAATATACCTTATCACGAATAACAAAGGTGCTTTAAAATCAAAATCAAATGCAACTAATTTTACTTCTAGAGGTGGAATACGTTAGTACATTCTGGTCACAGATTACAAAGACCATCATTTTTATCTTTACAATAATGTACACTGATCAATCAAAAAGACGGAGATGTACATGTCCATACATTAAGTCAATTTAGATTTCATATTGACTGTAAATAGTCTTCCATGGGCCACTAACACTGCCCTCTAGTGTGCAGCGGACCGTGACAAACCGCCAAAACCCGAATCCTGCTCGGCCCGCAGTGTGTGTGCTCTTATCTGCCACAGACAGATCCAGTGAGCCACCACACACCTTACTCACTCACACTTACTCACACACACACACACACACAGAGAGAGAGAGAGAGATAAGCAAACACATTCACACACACACACACAGACCGGCCAGCCACAAAATAAAGCATCAGGCTCCATTAGGAGGCTTTATGATGATCTACTACCGCAAGCAATTATAAAATGTGCTCTGAGCCTCTCTTTATGGCTCTGTGAAAGGCTTCTGTTTGGACACACACAGACTCGAGTGGACGGCTCTAATTACCGCAAACAGAGCTGCTGATAAGAGCAAACGAAATGCGGTCGCTCCCTGAGCAGGTGCTGGTCAGACTCGTCCACGAGCCCTCCAGAGAGAGAAACATGCTCAGATTCACTGTCATAAGATACATATAGTTTAAATTATGCCTGTCGATCAATTAAAAATGTAACACATTAATCATGATACACTGATTCATTACATTTATCATTTACATTATTCTGACAGACCAGTAAATCACCAAATATATTGTACATTAGAAAAAGTAGCTAATAAATAGTACTCAAATAATAAAAATAAATAATGAAATAAGTATATAATTCCTGTAATTAAATCAGCATGTTAAATTGAGTCCTACATTTATTAATACTTTTTTCTCTAAAAAAAAAAAATCACTGAATAGAAATGAAAAGTAGTGTTAAAAGGCAATTATAAATGGTTAAATAATGATTAAATAATAAAAATATAAAAAATAAATAAATGAAAAAATAATTTAATAATTTAAATAATTAAATCAACATGTTAAATTGACAGCCCTATTCTTAATATTTCTTATTCTCTATAACATCATGAGACAACGCAGCTTTAGCAGCCAAATACACATAAAAATTGAATAATGATTAAATAATAAAAATATTAAAAATAAATAATTTAATAAAGAATTTAATAATTTAAATAATTAAATCAACATGTTAAATTGACAGCCCTATGCTTAATATTTCTTATTATCTATAAAATCATGAGAAAACGCAGCTTTAGCAGCCAAATACACATACAAATATTTTTTAATTAAATAAAAAATAATTAAATAATCATGTTAAA